TTTAATATTTTCTTCCATTCTTACCTAATTTACCTACAATAAAAATTGTATTTTTAAATTTATATAGAAGTACGTAATATAATACTCGAAAGTTAGAAAATAATGAATAATGTAAATATATTGTTTATTATTGATCATCCTCATTTCTTAAATGTTACTATGAAAAGTATAAAATAAATAAATTATATATATATATATATATATGTAAATTTTCAAATACAAATTTTATTGTATATAAAATGATAAAATATTGAAAAAAGGATATACTATTATGGAAATTTATAAATATTCTTTTTGAGACATATACAAAAATCTTTTCAATCTTTATTATTAATAATTCATATGAAGTATTTATAAATATTTATAAACAAAATTATGTTGTATTGCTATAATAATATACATAATAAACATATAATTAAAAAATTTAAATCGATTATATTATCATTTCAAATTATAATATATATATATTCAATTAAAAATTAAAATGAAAATACACTTTAATAATAAACTATTTTTACATGTGCATATAAAAATCATACCTGTTATTCTTTTTTTTTGTTTTATTGATCATAATTAAATTTACATTTTAAATATATAAATATCGATAATAGTTTTAGAATACACGTAAATAGATTAAATATCTTACTAAAAATGTAACATATAATACGCATCTATATATTACATGTTACATTAATTTTTTATATTAATTTCAAACAATATTAATAAGAAAGGCAATATAAATGTGAAAAAATAAATATGTATATAAAATACATAAAATGTATACTAAATATTCTAATTTAATTTACCTACTTCTATATATATTAAATAAAGCCGACTTTATTTTATTCTACTAAACTAGACGAGATATTTGAAAAAATACATTACAAATTTGTGAGGTAATTCATTGTTCACAATTATTCCTTTCAAGAAATATTAAAATGTTTAATCTTAATAACTATAGAAATAATAAAATTATTTTTAAATAATCGTTATTAAACTTACTGTTATTAATCTTATTTTCATAATATTTAACAACGTAAATGAAATATAGAATCGCTATTATCGATATGGATACGTCGAATAGTAAAATCCAATTTCAAGATTAAAAGAGTCTGATAATAAAATTTACTTAATTATATTAAAATATTTTTGTTTAATTTTTAATTCATACACATGAAACGAATGTTTTTTAATAATTAATATTTAATTAGTTTTTTTATTATTATATTTTATAGTGAAATTTCATATAAACTATTGATACTTTTCTAATTATAATATTGATTATAAAAATGAATTATGTTATTTCTTTTCAATAATTTAATAATTATTAGGAATAATTATGAACATAACAATTATACAAAATATTAAACGCCTGTTCATTTATAAAATAATTTACAAAGAATTGATTTATAAGTATAAGTCTTTATTTTCAAGATTCGTGTACATTTAATTTGTATTTTTCTTATACAATTTAAAATATTGCACATCACAATCTGCTGTAAAATATTATTATGTAATCAAATATTCATAAACTAAATATTGACTGAAAGCATTTGTGAATAATATATTTCAACAATAAATTTGATATTACATAAGTTTGACATTTCATAAAAATTATTTTCATTTTTATAATTATATACTAATATTTTCTATAAATATAATTTTTATTTTTCTGACTAAATAATTTTTTCTTATTGCTTTTTGATAAAAAGTACTAAAACAAAATGAATTTTTATGTCTCGGTATAGAAGTTGTTTTAGTGAGTCTAAAACGAAATATTTTAATCAACTAAACTTTAAACTATGATTTTAATGTCTTGATTAAAAAGTTATATTCCTTGCAGTAAAACAGAATATCTGTAATACAAAAACAGTAGTCAAATAATTAGAAATAAGCTGATCATAATTAAGATATTTGAATATTAAACTGTTACAACGAACATAATCATCCAGGTAGAATGTAAAAATAATAATGTATAAACAACTAATAGTAGAATAGAAACAAGCTGTATATACCTTTCAAAATTATCTCTATTATACATAAAAAGATTAATTAATAACTAATAAGAACTTCTCATTTTATAGAACTTAAAAATTGAGTTTGTGAACAAAGAAACTTATAATTATACATTCTTGTGCCAAAAAAGAAAGTTAACACTACGTAAGAACAGGAAAAACAAGTAAATTTTAATAACAAGTATTTGCTTTATAAATATTCTATAATTCCCTCTCCTATCATATCTTTTTCATCAAGTTTCCCTTCAATCATAACTTTTTAATTTTTTCTCATCTTTTTTTTCACCATTTATTAGAGAGATGATATATTATTGTTACTACAGTAGATTACTACAAGGTATATTATTGTTACTACAGTACATTTAAAAAATCCATAAAGCTTATTATATACAAATATGATATTTACGACTGTTGGAGTTCATTCCAGATATTAGTCTATTTGTTATTTTACTAACTTTTATTTAACTTTTATTTTACACATGCATATGGTGTCTTTTTATTAGGTTAGGAATCTATTAAATAGAATATTCAAACAAACATCTTTAACGAATCGCGGGAATTTATAAAATAAATGAAGATAAAACTTTTTTAATTAAAATTCTAATGTTCAGATGAATAAAAGGTAGAACACTAATGTTTAGTGATTTACTGATTCGTAAAATAATTTATGTAATTCGCTAACTGTAGAAACAATAACTTTTCTTCATAATCTAATTGTCAAATTTTAATTATATAAAAATTATACTTTTGATATGATTTGGGACGTTAATGCTAAATGAAAGTAATGAAAAGAAAGAGCTGTTTCATATAAATATCAAATGTAAATATTTGAATGAAATATAATTAAATTACTTTCAACTTAAAGATGACTGTAGATTAAATTTAATTCAATACTCATGTATTGATATTAATCAAGTTTTTTATAACTGTAATTTAGACTACTTATACTTAAAAAATTAACAAAAATAATGCACAAAGTTCATTATTTAGTAATAAATTATCCATTCATTATTTATAATGAATTCACAGATATTTCATGCATATCATTCTAATTGTAATATGTGGTTTACCTGATACAATTATAAAATTAAGTATATAAATATAGAATAATTATTTAAATCGAGAAAAGTAAAGAAAACATTTTTTGAATAAAAACTGAATATATGAATAAAATTATTTACTTTTTTTCAATGGATAGATAAAAAAAATTATTCCAAGCTTAATATAATTAGATTCTAAAAATCGGAAAAATTTATTTATATTACAATTTAACAATTTTCAAATATTTAAGTAACTGAAAATTGTTGCCAAGTAAACGACAAAATATGTTTGGGGCCCTTGTGAAACAAATATAAAAATATGGTGATAATATTACATTTCGTACACAAGCAATTATTATATAATAATTGTTTTACCTATTATAAAATAGTTTCAATTAAAAAATATATCAAATTCAAATATTTATTCATTTCCTTGTGTTTTTACATATATGGCTCAGAATGTTTTGGATTTTGATGATGTTAACTATGGCAATAAAATGTAATGCTGTAATCTTCTGAAGGCCTGAATGATTTGTAGACTATTCGGATTTTTAGAGATTAATTAATTTTGCATTTATGTAATATGTAGTAACTCTGGTAAAATATTAATAAAGAAAGATATGAATTATAACTTAGGCAAATTAAAACTCGATCAACATTTGATTGTAAAAAAAAAAGAATAAAATACTATATTGTTAATTTCAAAACATTTTCCTGTGTGAATATACTATGACTTTTGTGAACTACAAAAAAACAATGGCTATTCCAGGAATAAGTATTTAAATTTTGATGTAATAAATGCTTACTACTACATACTATGCGAGTTCAAATGAAGCATATATGACATTGGTTAATTAAAATAAAATTAAAAAAGCAGATATTTTGTGCATGAAAATGAAAAAGGATAATATATATAGCTTATAATAAATGATTTATACAATGATAATTAATTAACAACTAATAAATAGTAATTGTGTATAATAAATTTTAGTTATAACACAAGAGAAATTATATAATTTATCTAGACATATTACGATGATTTTTTTATTCCAATATCTTTCAATTACAGAATTGAATATGCGGTAACAGTTAAAAATATTAAAAATGGATGGATGTACATCTTAATATCAAGTGTGATGTAATTTGGCAAAGCGCTCTCCATTCGTTACAAGGATAACATTACCTCGTGGGTAATAATTTAAGAAAACGTAAATATGACTTGTTTTATTAATAAAGGAAATCGTATACTACCGAAGCAAAGATTTCCAATTTTTAAATTTAGATAAATATGATTAATTTTCTGTTGGTTAATACTTATTGGCTATTTTCCTTTAATTAATTGCATAAAAATGATTTTATAAATCTTTAATTTTTAAGCACAAACAAAATAAAGTAAGATTTAACATCATAATCCTTCTTACGCTTGCGCAGTATAAACATTTAATTTTTTTCGGTTAAAATCGATTCTTATTAATTATAAATAACAATTTTATTATTATCGAATTTGTATGTTAGAGCAAATTAAATTTAGTATGGAGCAATGTTTATCTGTAAAATCAATCAAAGAATTTTATAATTCGATATAATATTTATATTTTTAATTTAAATTGAAAAACCATGCATTTAATTTTGTTTTTTTACTAAATAATATAAAGCTAAGTATTGAATACGTAATGAGTCGGAACATGTTAATGTTTAGTTTTGCATAATCTAAACTATCGGCGGGGCCCTGGTTCATTTAATAATAGAAAGATTTGTTTTTGTATATAACTTTAAACTTATAATTTTTAATTTAATTATGGCTCGAATGCAATTTTCTAAATTTGATTATTTTATCTCTTTTTGTGCTGCCATCTGCAATATATTTGCGTGAAGATTTGAATAATTTTGAAGATTTACACAAGGCCATTAAATAAATAACAGAAATTTATGTTATTCATCATCAATTTAGTTAATTTTTATAATTTATCCTATAATTACTTGTTATACGATATTGTTACTGTAATCACTTAACTCTAAATATTATCTTTATTTAACCTATGCGTAGATTATCTATTAATAAAAATGGAATCTGCTATAGTGCATTTAGAACAAAGTGTAAGTTAAAATTTTAATAGATAAATGCCTATGTATATAACCTTAAATTTTTTTTTATATATTGATCTCAGCAAAATGAGCTATGCTAATCAAATTTTTTTATTATATTTGTTAAAAATATTTTTCAGGTTGAAAAGGCTGATGGAAAACTTGATATGATTGCTTGGCAAATAGATGCTTTTGAGAAAGAATTTCAAGATTCTGAGTCAGAAGTAAGTACTTATTATAAAGTAATTTTTTAATACTCATCAATTAATACACAAATATCGTTTTCAATAAAGTGTGATTTTTAATCATACAAAACTTTTTAGCCAATATCTGTATTACAATTATTACGCTCAGTAACACAAGTAAAAGAAGAATATCAAGTGCTGCGTCAAGATATTCGTGAAGTTCTCCAGTTACAAAAGCAGCTTACAGAATCTGTTAGAGCTCAGCTTCTACAAGTCCATGGACATTTTAATATATTACGAAATCGAATTATTGGTCATAACAGAACACCACAATTAAAGTAAAAATATATTTTTGTCAGTTTTTAGATTTTACATTGTTAAGTTATTTCTGCTATTTTACTAAAAGTGTGAAATATAAAATATATCGTACAAGTAAAATAAAATATTAATTTGTTAAGATAAATGCTTATTTAAATTTAAAAAATGTTCATTTATGTTAAATAAACTATGAACTGCATAAGTTAGGATGTGAATATATTCGTTGCAGTTTGGGACCAATGTAAGATTGAAAAGATTAATTAGATAATACACATGTGTACATTGTTTAATAGACAATTGTTCTAATTTCTTCAGATGTATTGTATTTTCCTTAACTGTAAATTGGGTTAAATAATGCTTTATCAACTAGCTGTATGTAAAGTAGCCTTAATTATAAAACACATATTGATATCACATTATGGAAATATAATTTGATTCATTCCATTTTTAAAACGATAGCTTAATAATATTATTCAATAACAATGATTAATAAGAAATATATTATTTTAAATTTATTTAATGCAGGTTTTTTTAAGTGTATATTTTTCCTTATATAAAGTTACATAAAATTTAAAAGGTTAGTAAAAATGATTTCCAACATTAATTTTATTATTTTCAAATTTTGTTAAGATTCTCAGTTTCTAATAAGTTACTTGAGGTATCTAATAAAAACATTAATCAATGAAAAAATTGAAAAATATTTATTTTATCAATATTGTATATAAATAATGACTAAAAATAAATTTAATTATATGAAAGGAATTTCTGTATCAATTATAAAAAATGATATCTTAATACAGAGTTTACCATATTTAATAATATATATGTAAAATTCTTTTACAATAAATAAATATTATAACTTACAGAACGTACTTCTTTAAAAAAAGTTTGAAATTCAAATAAATTTATTAATTATAATTGGTGCTTCATTAAAAAATGTTAATATATTTATTACATATAAAGTTTTATTTCATAAATTTTTAAACATAAATAATTTTCGCTTGTTTTTTAATATTAAAAATGTGAATAATTATTAATGTTTAATATTTTAAATTTTGTAATAAAAATATTTAATATTATATATCATGTAATCACGTTATATAACAGGCTTGTTATTATTATAAATCAATTTTTTAATATTCGTGTAAAGAGCAAATCCAATCCATGAAGCTTGTTTTTAATTGTTTATTAATTTTATACAGTTTTCATTAAATTAATTATATATTAATTAATTGTGCATTATTAATTATCATTATATTTAAATATAATTTCACTATAATTCAACCTATTTAAAAAATATATTTTCAATTTCATTGTAATCACAAAATCAACCATTTATTGTGTATATATTTTTATTATCAAAATTTCAGAATGTTAGCGTTTATTTATTTACAGTATGAAAACGTACTTTCTGAATACAATTTTTTCTTCCGGCAAGTTCCCTCTTCTACCTTCTTTCTCTATTATGGAATCATTATCTGTTATACGAAACTGATTTTTAATCATTTGAAGTTATTGATTGCTTTCTTATATATTTCAACTTGATATTGCCATGATCTATAAGTATTATTATTATTTTCTTTATTGCTTGCACCGCTTTCACCCTCATAATCGCGCACTTTTTGTGTCTATATTTCATATATTACGTATAATACTAACGAAACAAACAATAATTCATATAAATTTACTTTAAATATAATTTTATTCTCAGATCAATATAATAAAAGAGCATTGTATATTGTATTACGCACAATATTCAATTGAATTTAGATAATTTTGTTAGCATGAGTAATATTTTGTACAAAAGATTTCTAAACAATAACTTAAATAAAAACTATGAAATTCAAATATAAAATAATAAGTCCCATATTATGTTCACATTTATTCGTATCCATTACATATGCACAGGTAAAAACTACAAATAATACTCATTAGTTTATTATAAACATTAATATTTCGCTAGTCCGAGCTAGTTCGCTAATTTAACATGTCCAGAATCTACTGTGTAAAAGGTCTAATCATATAAATATATAAATATATAAGCATAATAATATGTTGATTATTTTCATATAAATAAAATAAGAATTATGCACAACTATCTGATTCAAATCATTAGAGATATTGATTAATTGAAATATATAAAATGTTTACAAGTAGACAGTTTATATGTAGACAAAATTTTTATTTATAATTTACTTATATTTTATTTATAATTTATTTTATTTTATTTATATTTATTTGTATTCTACGAAAACAAGAAATGTTATTAGATAACGGCAAATTTTTGTTTCAATGTTAAAAATGATTGTAAGCATCTTTAAAGAAGAATTATAATGTACAATTAACTAAAAATGAAATATCATTTGATGATGCTATGCTTTCCAAACCAATTTGACCGTTCACTTCATTAATATTTATACTAAATATATTTTCTGTTATAAAATATTTGATATGAAAACATGATTATTGTATTTAATTTTGTTTAATATTTATCTAACGAATAATAAATAATATTAATACGTGTTATACAGATAATAATTCACTATCATTTAAAAAATCAAAGAAAAAATATATTACAATAAATCTTTTATTAACGCAGAAATAATCAATAATTAAATATGAGCAATTATGAAAAATATAAGAAAATAGTAATGAATCTAAATTATAATATATTATAATATCGTAAAACTTTTAAATTATATAAATTGATAAAGTATAATTGATTGAATAATTTTGAGACAAAAAGTATAATGTAACTTTTTATGTATTTTTACAATTACATTTTTTATTTATAAATTTAAGTATATATATTTTTTAATGTATATAACTTTATTTTATTATTATAACAATTAAAAAATGTATAATTATAATAAAAATGATTATTGTAATTTTTAATATTAATTAAAAAAATGTTTGAAAATAGTTACAATATACAATTAAAATATTGACATATATGTACATCAATTTACTGTTTTCTTTTATAAATTATCCGGTTTTACTATATAATGCTATTTCTTCCATTATATTAAGCGATAAACTTTTATTTATTTTGCAATCATCTCCTGAGAAGAAATAGTTAATATAAATCAAAAATTACTTTTTTAACTAAAAAAAAAAATGAAAATGGCGTAGTAAATATTAAAAATCAAAGCATATTCTTTTTTCACATGCTAAGTTTTTTTTAGATCAAATTGAAATTTCAATACCAGAGATAAAATAAAATTTTGATTAAAATTATAACCTCTACTTTTTACAAAAAAAGCACAGAATTTTTTAATAATTTGTAAGAAGCTCATTATATAAATTTTATTATTCTATTGTATTTGTATTGTATTAGTATTTTGATACGTTATATTAGTTTATAATGTATATAAAATTTTAATGTAAATATATAACATTTTACAGTTAAAAATTGACAAAAGATTATATTTTAAAAACTTTTGTATTTATATATATACTTTACTTGAATAGTAAGTTTTAAAAGATATTTTATAATATATAAATGTATAAATTAATTCATTATTGTGTTAAAGATTTTTTTTTATAAATAATATGTTTATAATACAACAAATTATTCTGATAAATTATCAGATTTTAGAAATAATAATTTTACTCTATAAATTAAAATAATGTGTTCATATATAATATAATACATCGATCTTTAATATTTATCAAGTAATAAAGTTCGAATTTGTGTTCTATTCGGTTACTAAATATTTATCTATGTTAATATGTCCTAGTTTTTATTAAAATTGAACATGATTAAATTAGATTAAATCCCTTTTTTTTAATCTTCATTTATTATATTATATCAATAATTTTACTTTAATTAGGTAATAAAAAATTATTAATGAAAAAAATATGAATTAAAATAATTCTAGTATATCTTAATTAATTAAATTTGTAGTAGAAACTAAGAGTGGATGTTGTACCTGTTTTGAAAATTTCGTGTGCATACTTATAAAAACATTGATAAATTTTTTTTATGAATTATATTAAATCTTTAATTTCCTATCATAGAACACAATTATATATATTTTAAAAGTACAATAGTCAATTAAAAAAATGTATCATTTACCCGTGACATTTGTCCTAATTTTTTTTAGCAAAATGTCTAAAAATGTAAGAGCATACATGGATATTCGGCTATAAATTCAAATCGATAGTCATCTCAGTTTACATTCCAATAAACTATTAGGTCACTGACTATCGGAAGTTTACGGTGCTTCTATCTACCAGTTAAAATCAGTATGAGTGATAGTTGGATTAGTTACCACTAATCAGTTCTTATGTTTACGGTGTTCTAGTTCAATATTATAAATGCTAAAATTTTTTATTGTTATTTAAAGTCTTAGAAGTCATGCAAACTATTTTCTATTTTAAAATAGTAAGTAAGATTATTTAGACGATTCTCCTATTTTGCCTTATTATTTTTACTGATTCTGAATACACCTTCCCTAAAATGAATTGATACTTTCTGAGAGTTATTCGCTTCATTAAGTGTTATAAAACTTGAAATATGATCCAGTTTTGTATGGTAGTTTCTATAGTGGGTAACATGTACGGTTACGAGTGTGCTAACAGATTTAATTCTGTTTGATTACGAAGGTATATAAAGACTTATAATTTTTCCTTCTGAGAATATGTTTTTGAAAGGATAAAAATTTTATTTTTAATATTTTAAATTTTAAATTAATTAATCAATTGAATATATTGTTTTTCATTATGGTTCTGCATTTGCATTTTATTTTTGTATATATTTTAATATTATTATACATGTAATTTTATTAGTACACTATTTTTAATACTATTATTAATTATAGAAGAAATGATTTAAAGTTAGAATAAATAATTTTTATTTAGATTAACAAATTAATTACTAATTATTTAGAACAAAGTTACAAAGTAATGATTATCAGTGGGTCCAAATATAAATAAAATAAAAATTTTATAATAAGATTCTTTTTGTATTAATGATTTGTCTATTGGAAGATCAGTGGGTCCAAATATAAATAAAATAAAAATTTTATAATAAGATTCTTTTTGTATTAATGATTTGTCTATTGGAAGATCAGTGGGTCCAAATATAAATAAAATAAAAATTTTATAATAAGTTTCTTTTTGTATTAATGATTTGTCTATTGGAAGATTTATCTAGAGATCCATAGGAATATATATTAAAATGTTTAGAGATTTATTGAAAATGTTGAAATATATAGTTATTAAATAAATAAGCAAATAATATTTTTCAATCGTATTTAAGTTTTTTATCAAAGTATTTTATGTTGTATAAAGAATAAAATGTACTTAAATATTTTTTTAATATATTTTTTGTAATTATATTTAATATTGAAACGTTTTTATTGATTTATTTCATATAAATTCATGAAATTATTGATTTTATTAGTAAATATGAATTATTAATTTTTAACAAATCTCAAATTATATTCATTAATATATAAGATTTTTTTAATTGAAAATCTTTCATTAATTTCTTTTATTGTTTTTTTTAACAGACAATTATATATAAAAGTATTATAACAATACCATTTTACAATTATTCATTATTTAAAAAATTACTTTCATTTATAATATTATCAATTTAATATAAATCTCACAATAATTAAATATATTAAATAAATTTTGCTATATATTTAAATTATTTGTTTATGAAATATTGAATAGTATTCCTTTATTTTAAAAGATATAAAAAATATTTCATAATCTGATGTAATTAAAAAAATAATATATCAAATTTAAATTACTAATTATTCACACTGTTAATTATTAAAGTCTATTTTTCTTTTATTATATGCATATTAATTGAATAAATTATTTTAAATAAATTAAAAATATTTTCTTAATATGCATATGCAGATAAAACAGCAAATAACATTAATTAAATTAAATTTTTAAAACTTTTTACAAATATGTGAACAATTTCTATTATGCATGTACATATATAATAGTATGTTATACTATTTTATATTATTTAGTATAATAGTAGTAAATATAAAAAATATATTTGTGCCTTAAATTATTGGCTTAAAAAAAATTAATTTTTAGATATTTGATTTTTTTTCATTTGAAGGCATCAGCATTTCTTTTTATATTGAAAATTTTTAAATATAACAAAAATAGTATTGAAATTTGAATAAACTGTGTATATTAACTGTATTACATTTTTCCTTTTTCTGTCGGACTCAATATTTTTACAGAAACTCACATGGTAAAATTATTTATTAAAAAATTTTTTTATTATAATTAAATTAATCGATTGATAAAATTGACATTAAAACTGATAATATATAGTAGTCAAATATATTAATAATAAATCTTGTTTTTATTTTAAAACGATATGTATATTAGGTTAAAGAGAATAAAATTATTTATAAATATTTATTATACTAAAGTAGCTATTAATAATAATATTTTATCAATTAATATTTATTTTTATTTAAACTTGTGTTTAATTCAAATTCATTGCATATTTAAAATAAAGCTAATGCATATTTATAATTCATGATTTATATGAAATAATAGAAAAATTTGTTATTTTATATTTTATTTTTTATCCACCAATAGAATTTATAAAATTTTTATACTGTAATTATATTGAATTATAATTCAAAATCAAATTTAAAATTCTATTACAATTTAAATATATCATAAATACTATTCATATTTTTATAATGAGAATTTAAAAAATAAAATATGAAATGATGTGTTACTTATATTAGTATTATCATTGCTATATAGTTATATTGTGAATATTTTCAATTGGTATGTAGGCTATTCTAGTTTATGAAGTCTACACAAAATCCAATTAAAATCCAAATAATGTAATGATTTACTAAAATATACTTATGCCTAAGAAATTTTGTAGCTCTATAAAAACTATTTTTGTTTGAATTTCAGGAGTTGCAGGATTAAAAAAATACACTAAATAGTGTAAAATATATAATATTAAAATATAATAGTGTGAAATATAATATATTAAAATAACAGTGTAACAAATAAACCATCTGTATTACTTTTAGGATTAATTTTAGACTAAAAAACCAAATTAATATTTCTTATACTTGATTACATTAAGTATAATGAGCGTGTATGTGTGTGTGCGCGCGGGCGCGTGCGATGACATATATATATATATGGCTATATAGAAAACACTTAATTTTATTCATTCTTTAAAACGATTTATGTCCTATAGTAGAAATAAAAATTGTATTAAGTTTGTTATAATTTCTTATAGTTTCACTTTCTTTTCAAAATTATGAAAACTAGAAATTTTACATATTCAAAATATAAATATTTAAAAATTAGATTTTCGATTAAATGAATATGAATTGTAAAATAATTTTATGTTATTTTACAGGAATTCATCTCTACTACTAGAATATGGAAAGTTCTTTATTTTTGTTATACAGTGAGTATAATTAAACATTTTCTTATTGACGAGGTTTCGGCACATGGAAGACTAATCGAACCACCATCCAGGGCTTCAATGTGGAGGTATGGATTCCAGACTCCACAGGACTATAATGATCATGAATCATACTGTGGTGGTTTTACAAGACAGTGGCAATGGAACAGTGGGAAATGTGGAATTTGTGGCGATGCATGGGATCTAAAGCCCGTATGATATTTACATTTCATTAATACTATTTTTAATTATTTATCAGATTTATTTTATTCTTTTATTTTGTAAAATTCATAGTACATGAATTTATAAAATAACAATGAGTTTTCAATGTATTTATTACATATATGTGAAAACCTTTACATAGAAAATAATTAGTAATATGAAAGCAAATATTATTATTTTCTCATTATTACTCTGTTATTACGGATTATTTATTATACTTTATTATAGATAATCAGTTTTGTTAATAAATTTTTTTTACATATTTGAAGTATTTCTATATAAATTAAACAATCATTTAATGTTTATGAAGCTAATCTGAATTGTACTATTTTTTGATTCTTTAATCCATATATTGTAAATATAAAAAATCTGTTTCCAAGACATAATTACCTTGGAATACCCCTTACTAATATAAATATTTATTGCCTGTTAAATTTTAATATTCTAATTTTAATGTCTGTTTAAAAAAAAAAAAAAAAAAAAAATAGCCGCGACCACATGAAATGGGAGGTAAATACGGTAATAATATAATTGTTCGTCGATACCGTATCGGTGCTATAATACCAGTGAAAATTCAACTGACCGCCAATCATCGTGGCTATTTCGAATTTCGTACATGTCCGATAGAAAGTAACGGCCAAGATGTTACACAAGACTGCCTTAATAAATATTTACTAACAGATAAAAATGGTACCGTTCGCTACTATCCTGAAGAAGGCAACCGAATTTTTATATCCTATTATAAACTTCCAGTTGATTTGAAATGCAAACAATGCGTTTTTCAATGGCGATATATTGCTGGAAATAATTGGGGAAATTGCGACAATGGATCAGGTAGTCAAAAATAATGTTTTATTCATAAAAAATCGATTATTTTAAAAGGAAAGTAACTTTAATGTATAAAGTGAAATTCATGAATTTACGTAATACGTAATAGTAGATAAATAATACTATTCAAATGTAAAATAAGAAGTAATTAAATAAATGCATTAAGTATAAATAAAAATAAAATATTAATATATTAAAAAATATATTTTTAAATTCGTAAGTTCAAAGTCACAAAAATGGACAACTAAATTAATATATACGAAATATATATAAGAAAAAACTTATTAAGAAAACCCTAATTTTCTGAACTTTTAATAATTTAAATGTTAAATATTGATATTCTTATATTCTTATATTTAATTTTTATATGTGTATTTTTGGGTTGACTTAAAATTTTTTATATTTATAATAATATATTTTTCGTAAACTAAAAAATGTAACCAATTTAAAATGAAAAAAAAATACTTGTAATCTAAGAACATGATATATCGATGAAATTCAGATTTATTATTAAAAAATTTTAATTTTAACATTTTCTTTATAGAATATATCATTGTTGTTGTTATTCTTTACAATTTCAATGATAAATGTTTTAAGCTCTAATTTAATTAAAAACGATAAAACATTTATGATACGATTGATGACACGATGTAATTTAGTATAATTTTAGCTCTTGAATGTTATTTATCATTAAAAATCAAAATAAATCAAATCAATCTTTTTATAATTGTAGTTGTAATTTCTTAAAACCATAAATATTAATATAAATATTGAAGTTAGTTATAAGTGCAATTAAAACTTTGAATTGATCAATAACACTTTCAAAACATTAATTATGTTCATGTTATTTTTTTTTTTATCTAAACTTTTGATTCCTGATTTATCTACTTTTTAAATAAATTTTGTAAAAGAATCAATAATTTTTAATAAATATGACCTTATCTTTATATAATATACATCATACAAATTATCTTTAAAAAGTATCAGTATATAATAAATAAATATTTGATTATTTTGTTATAGTTAATATTATTTTTATTACAAAAAAATTGTTTCTTACAATATAGATATACTGTATATAACTACTGTCAAATGTAATAATCTTTCCTTTTGTTTAAGTTATATAAATTTTAAAAAAATTCTAAAAATATTTTGGAGAATATTAAAATATAATCAAAATTAAAAATAATAAATACATATTATTTTTGTTTAAATTTAATAAAGCCAATTTTTATTCAAGTGCAAATAATAATAAAGGTTTCATCGTCAGGTGCCGTGGGATGTGGTCCTCAAGAAGAATTCCGAGCATGTGCAGATATAGCAATTGATAATGATGAATTCCAAATATCAACTTATTCTGTCAAAATACCAACAACATCGTCCAATTTAGATTTACCATTTTCCACCGAATCTGACGATTATTGGCTGTTTAATTTTGTTATGGCCGGTACATCCCTCTTGGTTGCCCTAACTCTCATGGCATTTCTTTACATGTACTATAATACTGACCAAGTAAAAACGTGGCTCAGAACCAAAAGACTTATAAATAAACAACAGTTACCATTGGCTACACCGCAGTACAAAAATACACCTTAAGCAGTAATCAAATGCAAATTAATTTAATAAAACATTTTAATCTATTTTAAAAAAAAAGTGTGTGTGCATATCATATAAGAAAACACATTTTATTATTCACATAAAATTATACATAACATTATATAATCATGTACATAGATATACACGCATATTGTTTAGAAAATATAAACAAATAATATGTATAGATATATTTGACTGCACATATCATTAAAATTATTTATTTTGTAGTAAATCGTTTTGTTTAGTATTTTAATATTTTTATAACTCTCACACAGATTGTAGATTAAAGTGTATGAAATATTTTATAAAAACAGATTTTAAATTTTGTTATTATATTTATATTATTTTATGTACAAACTTAATAAAATATATTTATAAAATAATATAGTTTATCTATTTAAATTTAAATATATACTATTTTAACATTATAAAATACTAAATTATTTTTTATCTAATATTTACTAATATTTTCTATGGGTTAGAATTTTGTAGAATGTAAGTTAAACTATTTTATATTAATTAGAAACATATTATATTTATATTCTTATTTATAATGACTTTAATTTAATTTATAAAGGTTTTAAGTACTTATCAATTTCAATATTTCCAAAAAAATTATACATATTTTATTTATTTTACTTTTTATTACAAAGCATATTTTTGAAATCTGAATTATTCATAGACAATGTAACTCCGTTATCAAACATTTGATCACTGGCAACGTTTTTTTTTACAACTTGAGGTACAAGTGATAAAACCGTCTTGGGGTTTCCAAATGTTGATCTACTTGTTGATGAACCTCCAAGAGATTTGACTGAAAAAACATTGTCATTATTTAACACTTGTTTTCGTTGTGGGGGTTGACTTACTGATACACTTATTATTTTTTCTTCAATCATCAATCCATCAGTTGCAACTAAAGCTTTTCTTGCACTGTTTATATCTTCGAATTCTACATATGCTAAACCTTTTGAATGACCATTACGATAAGTTACTATTCGTATATCTTTTAATTTTCCATGAATTTTAAATAATTGATGTAATTCTTCTTTTGTTGTAGTAAGAGGTAGTCCTATATTTAGACAAAATATTTTAATTAAAAGAATTCCTTCATTATAAATCACGAAAAAAAAACTTTAATATGTTTTTGTAATGGTAATAATAATGTAAGAATTAATTTGACATATTGAACATTGACGGATTTTATTTAGAACTTTGTAACTATACATAATTTATATTGCCTTACCTTTCACAAATAGTTTATTTTTTTCTAATACAGTTTTATATTTAAATCCGGAGCTTCTTGATGTTTTATTAGGATCACACCTTGAAATAAACATTGGTCTACCATTTAAACGTATTCTATCAAGTTTAAGAGCTTCTTCTACTTCTTTCTATATTAAAATAAAAAGGTTTATTTATGTTTTAATGCTATCCATTATTTCATATTACAAAATATAACTTACAGAGCTACCTAACTGAATGTAACCATATCCTTTACTACGCCCTTTATAATCTTTAATCATTCTAAATACTTTAATAGAACAAACTGGCTTTAGAACTTCTTCAATTTCTTCTTCAGTTGCTGTATAATCTAAGTTACTAACAAATATGGTAATTTGATCATCCAGTTCATGGAAATTATATGAATCTTCTATTTTCTCTTTAATTTTTTTATAACCTTGAAGTGGAGCTATATTTGATTTCATATTCTTTGCAAATTCATTAGATGATTCGTCTACCTTTTGGTTTATAGAATCTTTTCTTGACATTGGCTTAGTAAGTTGTTCAAGTTTTGATATTTTAAACGTAGAAGCTCCTAAATCCTTCCATCTTCCAGTATCTTCTCCTTTTCTTTTACCAGTTTTTTTATTTATAACTATTTCTTTAGGCATTGTAGAATATAATTCAAACTCTTTTCTTTCTTCAGAAATTTTAATAAGCTGCTCTTGTATTTTTGATTCACAAATTTCGATTTGCTCTAAGGTTCCTTCATCCCGTTCAAAATTAATCCAGGCATTTGCTACACTTTCTGGCCAATCTTTAACAGCAATTAAAGCCTTTTGAAAAAGTTTACGTATATGTTTTGAATCACCATAGCATCTACAAATTAAAAGATGTAAATTATAAAAATATAATAAAATGATATAAAAAATAATTATCTTAATTTATAATTTATAAATTTGATTAGAATTACTTTTCTAATGAAATATATTCTATCCAACTAGCAGCTGATTCTGAATGTCCTTGTGACATAATATTAGTCCACAGCCATCGAGCTTTTTCCATATTATTTGCATGAATTGCTTCAGATCTCGCCCAAAATTGTAAAATTTCACAAGTAGGATCTCCTTCAATACCAAATGATGCTATATGATCATAAGCTCTATTAAATGCATTTCTTAAAATTTCTAATTGGTTTTTTTCATTATCTGACTTATAATCAACTCTTCGACGTAAGTATTCCAAATATGTTATCCAAAGCTTTTTATATTCATCTGCACTGGAAAATCCTACTGTAAGAGCATTTTCAACTAGTTTTTGAATATCAATTAATGAAGTGTTCTTTTTTTCACAAAATCTAATCCAATTTTGCCAGATTTTAACACACCAAGGAATATTTCTTACTGCTCTCATATAAATTTTATCTATAATATCATTAATTTTTATATTGTATTCTACAAATTGTAGGTAATCTATCCATAAAACAGGTTCAAGACATATATCTGTTAAAGCACGTTCATAAAGAACTGTAATTCTACCCGGATCACCAATTTGTTTTTCATGAAACAAATATGCTTTATAAATATCAAGTTGCTCATTTTTATTTTGCGCAGATTCAAGTTTTTCTTCAAATGGTATACGTGCATTTAATTCTATTTTTGCTTTTTGATATCCACTTTTGACAATTTTGTCATCATTATATTCACAACCTTCTGCACATTTCCATATTCTATATTCTTCATATGCTTTTTCCATATGAAAAAGTGGACATGTCAGTTGTCGTTGATAAAGTTTACCTATTCTATTTATTTGATTTTTCTTTTGAGAATCTTTCGAATCCATCTAAAAATTACTTAAACTTTAAATACAATAATTTTAACATAAATAAAATAAAATAATAACAAATTATTTGGATTTAATGTTACCGTGAGGGCAATAAAGCTTTCAAATTCTCTAAATGCATCCCAAATTAAAGATCCTTTCATAACATGCAAACCAGCTGCAGTTAATGCACGCTCAAACAAGTTTCTCATTTTCTCTATTGAATCTTTTTCAGTATCAAGTCCTATACTAAATTGTAAGTATTCTAGCCATACTTCAACAGCTGTCAAATATATAAAATATATAGTCACAAATTTTATTACATTAATAATCTATAATGGTAGGTTTTTTTCTCATAACATAATTAAATTAGCTTAAAATATATATTAATGTAAATTAAATTATTTTAAATTTAAATAATAATAAAAGTCAAAGATTTTGTAGTTTAAATATGAAGTATGCAAATTTTATTAATAATCCATATTTTTTAAAAGAAATTTTGTTACTTTATACATATATAATTAATAAATACAAATAAATTAAGGTTGTTTTAATTTTTAGTACTTTATAACAGATAATTCATTAGATTTTATATTATTTCTACAAAGATTAACCTACAAAGATAATCTGTTATTGCTCGTTCACAAATTTCCACAACTGCACATTTTTGTTCTGGTGTTGTAGCAAGTTTTATTTCATCTCTTAACCACGATAACCAAAGATCAGGTGTCAGTGGATATTTGGAGCTCATATTTTCTCTAGCAAACCGTAATCGATCCAGGTCACCCATTTTATGAAATTTTGATATAAGTAATTTATGAGATTCATAGTCATAAGGATTTTGTGTCAGTTTCTTTTCTAGTAAATGAATTTCAGATTCATCTGCTTCATCGTGTTTATTGTTACTGTTATTACTATCATCATCTTCACTTAACTTATTGTGTTTTAATTGGTCTAATTCATCCCCAGGATCACTTTTAAGCACTTCATTCTCATCATCAACTTTTTGGTTGATTTCATTGACTTCATCATCGGATGTGTCAGCAAGTAATTTTCTTTCATTTTCTTCATCATCAACAAAAATACTCATTTCTATTTTGTCATCCATTTTGACAATTTAAATTTGTATAATGACTTATTTGCAATTACAATTCAATGGAAAACAAATATCAGAAGTTAAGTTTGCTCACAGATAAAATAATACTATCAACGGTTAGCTTACAATTTATCTGTTTGAAGGTTATGTTTCTTTGTTGTCTCCTAATCATTTCAACAATTCTGATGCATTCGTTTTTGTATGAGCCATAATGCATCATGTTTATATATTCTATTTTCATAAATACAATTTCTTTTATTTTACTTAGGAATATTTAAAAATTGTTTATAGTGAATAATAAAGACATATTATATATTTTAAAATTTTTTATTTAATATTAATGACTACATTAAAAATTTAACATAATATTGCAAAACGATACTAATAAAAATTTAATCAAACAAAAAATTTTGAGATTCTATCTTTTTCGTTTATAACAAATTTATAAAATATGAAAATATCTAATTTCTTATAATAAATAAGTGTATGAACATAATAATTAAATCTCTTTTATATTATAAATAACATAAAATTTTTATATTTTACTTATTTTATTTTAAATAATTATTTTAAAAGTAGAGTTTCTAAGGCACTGCATTAATAAATACTTCAAGTAATAAATTCATAAAAAAGTTTTATAACATAAAATAATAATATATCTTTTAGTATGATTTAAATTTCATATAAATATAAAATATTTAAAAAATTATGTTATTTTCTAAGAAAAAAAATGTTAAAGAAATTAAATTTAACGTTATGTACATGTAACACAATATAAAGTTAAATAAAAAAATTAATTTATATAATAAATTTGAACGCAAAACAATATTGAAATTTTTAGGATAAATCTAATTATATCCAGATGAGTACAATTAATTATGAATATATACCAAAAAGTAAAGCATCCTAAATTCTTATAAATATTTTACATCTATAGTAAAATAAATTATAAGCATTTTTTGAAAATGTCATTTTATTATATGAAATCATATATATATATGCGCGCGTGCGTGTAATAAATTAGGAATAAAATATACAATTATTTATATACTAGATTTTAATCAAATATATAAACCATAATTATATGTAAAAAATTTGTAAACAATTATTAAAAGAAAAATCTATATAAATAAAAATGTCTCAATATCTTATTTTCAAAACGTTTATATTCATTTACTTAATAAATACTAAAAAACAGACACGTAACAATTAAGATTTTTTTTATTATTCTGTTACATTATATTAATTTTTATTTGCAAGAATTTTGTGTTTTTATAAGTATGTTTACAATTACATAAATGTTGGAATACGTAAAAATATTTGCATTACATTAAAAAACATTTAATTCATAAAAATTACTCATAATTATAATAGATAGTATTCATCATGTATTAAAAACTTTACTTACTGTAATCGAATGAGTAATAACAATAATAATAAAAATAAGAAATAGAAGAAAATAAAGAGGAAGAAAAAAAATAATAACATATAAGTTTTTATTTTAACAAAATTATTTATTTAGAATAATATCATTATTATATTATTACATTTTTACTTTATTATATTCTTGTATGATTATATATAATGTGAAACTCGTGTTTTAAAACTTTGATTTAAGTTTTAATAATTTGAAGAATTTTGATAAATATAATTTTATTTCAGTTTTTATTAATACAAAATTTATAGTAAAAATTTCAATTCAATTTTGTTATTGAACAATATCTATACAAATTTTAAAGATTTATTTACTTAAGAATATTTGTACCTAATAATCAATCATCAAAATAACTTAAAAATATTAATTTTCTATTTTAAAAATATAATTTATATTATCTATGCGCAAATAATATTAAATAAGGTTACAAATTTCATTTTCAATATTTAAAAAAATATGAATAAAAATTAAATCTGAAATTAAAAAAATTATAGTACATTTTTATAATTTATATTAATACAAAAAATATTATTTGCGAAAGTCTAGCTACATACAATAATAATTTTTTCAAATAATAAAATGTTTTTAATGTTAGCTGAAAACTTATAGTTCATCTTCAACATTAAATTGTAGCATTTGTAATATCTTACTATGATTATTATTAATATACTCAATTTCTTATTATTTAATTGCAGTTCTTTTTTTGTAGAGCTGTAATACGACTTAGTATTTCATAAAATTAATAATTTTATATTAAGTAAAAATCTAAATAGGGATTCATATATTAAAAGATTATAAATAAAATAATAAATAAATATATCATTGATTACATTTAAAAATTTTTTTTGTTATATCTTTTAATTACGTTAACTTGTCTCATTTTCTTGCTGATGGTGAATAAGAAATGCCGATATGACACTTCAAATACAAAATTTTTAATGTTTTGTCCACAAAAGTCTTTATTAAAATTATTTCAAATACCATGTTTCACTATTAAATTTGAAACCTGAATAATATATGTATTTTTCGATTATAAGATAAATATTTTTTTGTTGATTTTTAATTTCATTACGAATTTAATCTAATATTAGTTTAAGAAACATAATTTTTATCGTAAAATTAATTTTGTTTAATTGTACAAATAATAAAAATAATAATGCAAGAAAAACTGTTATATAGTTAATAGTTATGATATATAGTAATATAAATATATATATACATATATACATGTGTACATGCAAACATATATATATTTATATACGTAAGATTTATGATGAATCATTTACATTTTTATTTAATCAACATTATACATTATTATTATATATTAATATAAATGTTTAATATTATTATATATTTTAATAATTATACAAATACTATTGTAATTTTATTGTTTTGTAAAATAATGTTTTAATAATATTTAAAAATTCTTATATTTAATATAAAAATTAATTTTTTTATTAATTTTATTCATGATGAAATTGTTTGTATGAATTTATTACAAATTGTACCATACATAAGAATTTTTGTAATTATTATTTTAAACAATAATTTATATGACTAAAATAGTTATATATTAAAATTTATCTATTTTTATAAAATTTTTAAAATACGTAAATTTCCTTTATTGAAATAATCGTTAAATTATATTATAAATTTAAATTAAATTAAATTTGCATGATTAAAATTAAAATAAATATCATAAATATTCTAAAAAAATACAAATGGGAATAAAGCTTCAGAAAATCTATAAATAATGGAAAAAATTATGATTAACAAGGCTTAATTTAACAAATAAATTATATATTTTCTCATTTAATTTGATAAATATTTAGTGAAAAATTCTTTAAATAACGTTTAGGTATGCAAAAATTATTATATTTATAATTACAAATATCAAATTTATATTAGTATAATACATTAACTTATTTCTATTTTATATTGAAACATTTTATATTGAAAATTAATTAATCCAAGAATAAAAAATATGTTTACATATTTATAAAACTTAGCATACTTTTTAAAATAATAACGTAAAGTTACAAATTATTAGTTTATATTATAAAATTGCGCTTTGAGTGAAAGAAATAATCTGTATTATAATGAATTTTTTTTTAATTATTTAATAAATTATTATATATTGAAATTTAGAATCGATATTATTTTAAATTAAAAGGTAACTATAAGAGCCTTTACATTATTATTACTATATTGTTAATTAAATATTTGTAATATTGTTTCAGTATTAAAATTATTTGAAAGTAAAATTTAAATAAGTGCGTAATCATGGAATTCCAAATAACATTGTAAATCTGTTTACAAAAATTATAAATAACTTGATCGTTCTAAATTGTTATCAATATTCATATAATTTTGATATTTTACTTATTGAATTCAAGTGGAATTTTTTAAAATATTGGGATTTATTTTAATGCATTTAATTTGATTAACATTTATTATTGATTAACATTAATATTACCCATAATCCGAAATATTTTTGATATTTTTGAAATAAAATAACTAAAAAAATTGGAGAATTTATTGAGATTCCAATATTACTATAAAATATTGATACATTCTTGTACAATAGTAAATGTTATCACAGTTTTGCTTACTATGTGTAAACATGTTTACACAAAAAATAAAATTAAAAATAAAGTCTTAAATAGTTTTGTCTTAACAATAAGTCTTGTAGTAAACAAATAATAAACAAATAGTTGTTAATAATAGAAATATCTTAAATAGTTTTTTGTTTAAGTTCTCAGTTTGTATTTTATAAATTAGCAAGATGTTTATAAATAATTGTGATTTATTACATATAAATAATTAATTATATATATGTGTGGATGTATGTGTAGTATTCTACGTTTTTATTTTTATATTAAATTTATTTTATCAGTATGGTATATAAGTTTTAGTTTTTATACGATAAATTTCAAGATGAACAGTGTATAAAATAATTAATATTATAGATGAAATCTGATATAAATATAAAATATAAAGAATAGAATGTAAAGCAATAGAGGAATCAGTGTTCATTTAATATTCAAGTAAATACCGTCATCCCTTTCATGTATACTCTTATTTTTATATATTTATTTTGTATATATATATATATTTATTATTTAAAATATTATTCCAGGTATGGTAATAACAATTATTATATTGGAACAGATTTTATATCCACTAAAAATTATAATTCCACTAACAGACAAGTTATTTAATCTAATCTATAATTACATAAATTTAAGGATGTCTTGACATTTAAATTTTTCCGTGAATACAAATACAAATAGACAGGATAAAAGATACAACAAATATTATATTAAATAAATGGCAATTCAATTATCCTTGTAGTTGATTCTTATGTAGTTTAATAAGTGAATCCATTATTCAGAAGTGGCTAATTAATTAAACTTATTATGTAAGGTCTTGATTTGCAAATTATTTTAGACATGAAATTAAAATTAAAATTTCAATACGCTGAGAATCTCATTTGCAAAAATTACTGCTAACATGTAGGAATTGTGATTTCATACACTTATATATTTTTATATTTTAAAACACTAGTTTTAAAAAAATGATAATGAATAATAGTTAAATACTTATATCATTTTAAATTATTTAATTATACTTAATTAAAATATTTAAGATAATACTTTTTTACAAATTTTTTTTTTATTAATTACCAATATTTTTTAATAAAAAAGATTCGTTTAATTGACAACAGTAATTAATTTGATTGTGATTATTATTACTTGGATATGAAATAAGTTTTGGATTTAAAAAGACGTAATATTTCAAAAATAATGTAGTCATTAAAACATATATGAAATTAGGGCTGAAAATTATGAATAGTCTTTTAAATAAAATTTCTTGCCTTTCATATGAAATTATAATAATTATTTAAAGCAAAGGACAACACTTATTTTTTAAATCAGATATAATTGTATATATAAACCATAAAATTAATAATGGATTTTGTAATGTATAAATAACAATGCTTTATACATTTTAAATAAAGTGTCTCAGAATAATATAGAAAAGAACAATATTAAACTTATTTAAAAATGGAATTTTTACTATTATTCATTGTTTAAAGAAAATATGCCGTCAAATGTTACTCATATTGCTCGAGTGACACAGCTTACGAGAGTGAAAAGAACTAAAATTCATAAATGTTGTAATTATTATAAATTCCATGCGGATTATAAAAATTCCCAATGTGCTGGCTCTAAATATACGTAAATATGATTTTATTATTGGATGGAAATATAATGAGAAATATTTCTATTATTTTTCTGAATCTCGGATATCTGAATTATAGATTATAACACAGGTAAATTATATAAAAAAATAAAAATAAATTTTTTTTTAGTAAATCATTAAAAAATAGATTTTCTTTCATGTAAAAACTAGATACATAATAAGTAGCATTTCTTATGCTAGAAAATATAAGTATATGTATTTAAATGTAATATAAAATTTCATAAGTTATGAAAAATATTATCAAAAAATATTTGAAACTATTAAAATTTTGTTTTCAAATGTCTCAGGTGAGTTTTATTATATATGGAATTTATACTTTAATTAAAATTGAAATTAAACAACAATAATATAAAATTTTCATATTTCTCATAATTTACTTTTTGAAACAGTTAATATTTATTACTACGTAACTTATCAGTCTAAAAAAATTTATATTTGTAAGTATATCGTTCGTGATATATATTTATTGTTAAAATTTATGTATATATATAAAGAAAATGAATGTTGGTAATATATATTATATAAGAGGTGAATAGTAAATATAAATATTAAAATATCTAATGGTATCAATGTTGAATTTAATTATAATAATCTTTATTAACAAGATAATCTTAAACATTATTTATATGAATTATAAGATATTTTTGTGAGTAAATTTATATAAACTTGTAATCTTAGCTTATAAAATAATAAATAAACTACTGAAAATAATTTAGTTCCTTTTTTATTTCTATATTTTTTATATATGGGGTTCAATTAAAAATCTTTTCTATCAAATTTAATTAATTAAATTCTTACAAAAATCATGTAAATATCCTGGAAATATGTAAATATAAAAAATATGTAAATATCATGGAAGTGGATTTGTGATGTTTCACATACAGTTGCTATCATTTTAGTAGAATTATTGCATTTTTTTGCAATAAGTGATTTCTCATAAGAATATTATAGTTAATAATTTTAGTTATTAATTTACACTTTTATTTTTACTTAGTATCTATTTTATAAAAATATATTATTTATTTTAGATTATATAATTTTTAATATTGAAATTAAATATAGAAATTTTCAAAATATTAATTCATGTAAAAAGACTATGAAAATTGAATTTTTTTTAGGTAGTCGATAGAAACAAAATTTAATTCGTGCTCATAAGAATTCTTAGATGCGTCCAAATGTGTTCTGAATACAATAAAAATCAGTGACCTCGACAGTTTGCGTTTGCTTATCGCTAACACCTATAAATTGCACACCGGAATTGTACTTGACAAACATTTAATTAAAACCTTCTTTTAATCCGATGAGTAATAATTAATCTTGAGAACATTCCCAATGAAAAAATCCCCTCTCATGGCATATTCTCGGGTTCCAATGCCTTCGTATGGCACTTGTATTACCTTTTAAGTGTAGTATAGGTTTCACATGGATATATAAACAGTGTTAAACATTTTGTTATCTTCAAATATGTTTTCATTATATAAGTGTCATTTAATTAAGAATTCATTATCTGTTATTCTGCTTTCACTGATTTTGTTTAACATAACGTTAAACCAACAGGGCGTTAATGGCGATGATGAGTCAAATCTACCATATTCTCAAGGGTAATGATGATTGACTTATGAGCATATAAATATTATCATAAAAATTAAATTACATTTAATAAAAAACTTATTAGTATTTAAAAAGAACAAAAAAAATTCGTTTATATAGATCAACTTTTAAATAAAATTTCAAAAATAACAATTCGAATAACTGTATATATTTATCATATATATTCATGTATAAGAATTGTAAATGTACTATATAAATTATTATTAAAATTAATAATTATTATTAAAATTACTATTAAAATTAAAATTAAAGTAAAATCTTTTTAAATTTCTCTGCAATTTACTAAATCAGGAAAAGGGCATAAATTTTCAAATATTTTTTTTACATTGATTTAGTTATTCATATTTAATTACAAATTCAATAATTTAGTCAAATATAGAAGTAATGATGTCTTTTTCTTACTTACAGTTACAATGGCCAGAAAACAATAAATATTACGAATGATTTTCAACATAAAAAAATAATGAACTGGTCAAAAAATATGATAAATAATTCGAAGCTTAAAAATTTTAGTCCTGATAAACTGAATATACTGAACACTATTTTGCAAACAAACTTAGTAAATAGAAAAGAGAAGATAATACCTAGAGATCTGACAATTAATGTAAAAGAGAGTGATATTATGAATCAAGCATTTTATAATAATATAGAAACTAATGATTCAAATGTAAATTGGGATCATACAGTAACAGATGTTGAACAAAAACAAGATATTATTTGTTGTTACAGAAAAACAAGTAATGATACTACAAAATTTGAAGATTGGAAAAAACTTTTGAATATTGCAGAAGGATTTACTACTTATTCTGATAAAAATAATCGCTCAAAATATCTTATTTGTTTAAAAAAAATAAATATTGATGAAATAACAACAGTGCCTTCTATTTTAGAAACAACATTAGCTAGTTCACGAAAGGAAATAGAATTTAATGGTACTAAAAATGGACGGAAAAATAAAAAAAAAAAAATAAATATCAATACGAACATAAATCTTCATAATTCTGATAAAAATTGTGACGAATATGATGATGCTAAAATTAATCAAGCCGATGATTTAAGCTGCGTAGAAAATAAATCCACCACGATTGTCTTGGAAAATGTTACATCTAAATATACAAAAAACAAAGTTAACAATATACCTAATTATTTTCAAGAAAATTTTTTGGCCAAAAATGTAAATAAAAATAAGTATTTCATTAATAACGAATATAGACATAACAAACGATATCCAATAAATTATCGACAAATATATGATAGAAATTTGAAAATGCGAAAAGCTATGAAAAAAACTAAACTGTTGATTTTAATATCAGGTCCTATAAATATATATAAAATTAAACAACCAAATAAATTAATTTTTTTATTAAAAATTTGTTCAAAATTAGAAATAAAAAACGCGAACTCTTTATTTTATAAAAATAAACGTACGAATTCTTTTAATAAACGAATTATTGTAATTCCGTTTATATTATATTTACATAGATTACATCCTTTGATTGGTGTTAAGTTTCTAAATTTATTTAAAAATCAGAATTCGTTATCTCAAATTATCAAACAGTATAACCAACGAATATCTTTATGTAAAAATAAACACCAAGTATATTTACTACCAATAGGATTACTTACTTTGCTAAAGCAATTTTCTTTTAAACTTACAAAAATTTTCAATCAAATATATTTAATAAATACATATCGGCATTCTATTTCTCCACTTGTCAAAACATATACCACTAGGTCGAACTCGTTGATACCACAAAGTCCTAAACTTTTAATGACACCATATATGAAATATTTTAATACACCAGTTGATATGAATATTAATCATCATATTCAAAATAAAAATAAATATAATATCAAAAGTCCTTCAATAAACATAAATACAAATTATGAGAAATTTGTTCATGAAAATATAGAAAATACATATGAAACAAATATAAATAATACAAGCAAAAATATTGAAATGAGAATGATAGATCGAGATTCAAAAGATTTAAATAATACAACAGAGTCTTTTATAAAAACTGAAAGCACAACACAATATTTATATTTATCAAATGAAAGCACAAACATTAGTAACAGTATTAATGAAAATACAAGCATAAAAAACGATGTAATTGAATAAACTAATAAATTGAAATACTATATAAAGCTTATTTTTGTAAATTATAAAGTGAGAAATATTAAAATAATTATGTTAATTCAATTATTATTTTATTATTAAAAATTATATAATTTATTCATATAATAAAAATCATTCATTATTTTTTAAACAGATATTTAAATTATTTAACAGATAATTTAAATACATGTTTTAAATAATATAAATATAAAAATTTTTTCCTAAAAATGATAATTTAAATTAAATTTCAACAAAATATAATGAAAAAATTAAATAGTTTTTAATTTCTTAAATTGTATATTTCTACATTTAATATAAATGATTAATATTAAGTCCAGAATACAGATCATCAGGTTTTTTTATCTAATCAATTGTTAATTTTATGTAATCATTTTAAAGATAATATTAGATTGTGATGCTATTCATGCTTAATGAATAACAATTACATTCTTTATTTTCAATTGATATGACCGTTATAATAATATTCATTTCTTTGTATTATAATATATTCACAATTTTATTTATTATAATTTTGACAAAATCATTAATTATAAAATGAATCAATAATATAAATTTTACTAAGATTGAGTTATAGTATGTTGAAAATTTTGTTTTGCAATTGCTCCTAAAACAATTTCTGCACTGAAGACATCTAAAAATTAAATAATTAAATTTAGACAGTTGAAAATAATAATATATAATACAAAAAAAAAGTTTTGTTATAAAATGACTTTTCAGACTTAAACTAGATGAGTAATTGTATACAAATTTCAAAATATCATTGGGCACTCAATAATTTGTTTAATCATCATTAGTAAATTAATTTTATATAATTTGGACAAATTATAAAAATGATACATACTGATTTCTGCTCGAAGAATATCAGAAAGTAGATGTAAATCATTTTCTACAGTTATAATTATATAATCTAATTTTCCATTATTCATTTCTTGTATTTGAGCAAGTGATCTTCTTGTTTTTTCCATTATACCACCAGCACTTTCAATGATTTCTGCCATAGCTAGTGGAGAAGGTATTACACTCGGTGTTACATAAAATGTTTTTCCCTATGGTATTCAATAAATGTTAATCAAATTATCCAAAAAATTTGTATAACTACCAATAATTATAATATAGATGCAAATTTACCCTTAATATACTTCCACGATTAGGACTAATCAATGCTTTTTCAATATTGCAATTAAAATTTTTTTCAAATTCAGGATCATTAAGTAAATAAGAACTTTCATCAATAAAAGTATTTTTTGATGAACAGTCAAGTAGCCACTGTAAACTAACAATGTATTTACATCGTGATAAACAACAAAGAAGTTTCACTGTTCGCATCGGAGCACTCATGATTAAGTGTGTAGCATCCTTCCAACTTGCTGCAAGTGCACCACCTAATTCTCGAATACGCTAAAAAGTATTACAAGAAATTATAATATAAAAAATTTAATAAAATATTTGAAATATATTATAGTTATATCTTATATAAATTATATATTTAAATACTTTAATTTACTTTTGCATGCTTCTTTGGACTTATACCAGAAAATAATATCTTAGGCTGATTCTCTATGGGTGGAGGATTTGGATTGCTAATAACAATCGATTCTTCAAGACCTAGCAGATGAGGATCTTTATTTAATGTCGGTCCATCTAATTTTGGTTTCTTATATTTTCTCATTGCATTTGGACCTTGACCAACTTGTTTTACTTTATCATAAGATTCTTGTGTTATATTTATTGGCATTTTCCAAGCAGCTACAATATTAAAATAAAACTGATATATTTATTTATAAAAATTAATCTAAAATTTAATCATAAATAAATCTATAATATACCCATTAGATGAGGCACAAGTGAATAATCGAGTCTGAATGGATTGCCTAAGCTGAATTGTTGATATTTAGGTGCATCTAATTGATGTAATGCACTTATTTGACCACAAAGTAAATCTGTTAACCACTGTGCATTCACAACACCAGTTTGCCATTCTCGCGCTCTTTTATATTTTGGTCCATCTGGTCTAGTAGAAATAAGAAAATGAAAGATTTTAAATATAGCGCTATTAGTGCTAGTGATATCTATGAAGATACATATAATTTAATCATTGATTTCAGTTTTTTATATAAATTCAATGATGTGTTCATATAATTTAATACATACAATTTAATAATAGATAATTTCAGTTTCTTATACAAATTTATTGATGTTTTAATAATATAATTATTGCTATAATTTTATATATAATTTTTATACTAATGATGCAAAATGAGCAAATATTAAATTTTCTATAACAAATATTTCTTAATTTAAAGAAAAATTATTTCAAATAGTACATATATATATAGTTAAATATTAAAAAATTTTCTCATATCATAAATAAAATTTATGAATTTTTTAATGAAACATAATAAATTTTACAAAATATAGTGTACCTTCTACATACTAATAATGTATTATGTCGAGAGAAGTATTTTGTAAATTTTGCTCCAACAGATTCTAACATAAATTTTACTTTCGCGCGATCTTCTCCTTCAAATCCTGATAATGATATAATTTGTTTACTACATGGTAAATCGGGTAATCCAAACGGTATAGGAAAGTGAAGTGCATGCCAAGGTGGAAGTACTTGTTGCTTATTGACAACATCAGAAAGCCAATGTGCGGTCACACAACGTTTGCCTTCTCGCAATGCTTGTATAACTATTGGATGCTTTTGAGTTATAGCTAGTATATGTGATACTCTGGTGCAATACTGAATTTCCACTTCACCTCCATGTCTTTCAATTATTTGTTTCCAAACAGCAACTTCGCTTGAACCTTGTGCATCATATTCAACAATTACAAAAATACATCCAAGTAGAAATAAATCAGGTGGTACTGTTTTTAAAAAAAATAAAAAATTTAATTTATCATGAAGTTTTGATTTTAATTAAGAATGTCATTATTTAAAAAATTTTTTAAATTTATTAATAATAAATCATACTAACATTTTAAGTTAGGATTATGCCCATAAAATTGTGCTTTTGATTGTTGTACTATAGTAGGTGTACATTGCATTTTAACTGTTCCATTTGGAGTAGCACCATTAGTGATATTTCCTAAAGTTCTCCTTTGGTAAGCAGCTAGTAACTGAGGATCTTGAGAAGGAGGTGGAGGTGGCCTATGTTGAGCAGTCATTAATCTCAGTTGACCTGCTGCACTGCCTTCGGTTGTTCCACCTTGTAGTCTGTTGGTGAGCATATTTGCTAGAGCTGTTTTTGTTTTTGCATTAACAAGTTGCTGATCACCTGATATTTGCGAATTTCCAGGTATAGATACTAGTGATGGTTCTTGTTGAACAATTTGCTGCTGTTGTTGCTGCTGTTGCAATTGTTGCAGTTGTTGCATACGAGCTATTTGTTGTTGCTGTTTTTGCATATGTAACTGAGCAAGTTGTTGTTGAATTAAAGGTTGACCTTGTTGGAATTGTTGATTTTGTGTGATTTGAGAACTTTGTGCCGTCTGTCCAGTTTGAATTATTACTTGATTACTAGAATTTATTGGAGTGAGTGCAGGTGGTTGTATGGAATGCATTTGAGTTGATTTTTGCCCAGGGCTCGATATCTAATATTTTTATTAATATTATTTAAATTATTTTAACAGCAAATTATTTTTGTCATTTAATTTAATTTACATTATATTAATAATTTTCAGCACTGCCTCCTTATAAAAATAGTAATATCATATATTTAGCGTTAAAATGTGATATAAAATCAAATAAAAAAAAATTATCCAATAAATATTTCAATAAAAAATATGATAATACAGTATTATATTAATATTTATATTTTATAAATAAATTTTTCATATTGATTATAGTAGTAATAATTTGTAAAAAAATATTACTTGAGGCCCCATCATTTGTGATCGGGATTGAGAAACCCATTGTATGCCACCTGGTTGTCCAGGCTTTCCAGGACTTCGAATAACAGCAATATGAGGTCCTTGTTGCGTTTGACGTTGTATATGTCGTTGGAACAGTAATGTTTTTTGCTTTTGAATTTTTTGTATAAATTGTGCCCTTTGTTGTGGATCCAACTGCTGTAACTGTTGATGTGTTTGTGCATCCAATTGAATAAGCTGCCTTGGTTGTTGAGGAAGTTGTTGTGTCCATTGAGCTCCAGTTCTTTGTTGTTGTTGTCGTTGCAATTGTAATTGATACTGTTGCTGCTGCCATTGAGCATCTCTTTGAACCATAAAGTTTTGTTGATTTGAATTTATTAATTGAGTTGGTGACTGTTGTTGCTGTATCTGGGTTTCACGAATAACAAACTGTTGAGAATTTTGAGGAGCTGACTGCTGAAGTTGTTGTGAGATTTGTTGAATTTTTTGTTGTTGCTGAAGTAGTAACATCTGTTGACATTGTTCCTGAGTCAATTGCTGCTTTTGAATTGAATTTTGTTGTTGTAAAATCATTTGTTGAGATTGCTGTTGATTTAAATGAACTTGTGAAATTAATTGCTGTTTTTGTTGTAAGACTAACTGCTGTTGTGAGGCTATATGTTGAGGTGTTATTTGTTGTTGAGAAATTGATTGCTGTTGTGTGCCTAATTGTTGTTGAGGAGTCAATTGTTGTTGCGCTGTAAGTTGTTGTGACACTGCTTGTTGCTGAGATATTCTTTGTTGTGGAGGTAATATTTGTTGCTGCTGCACAATCTGATGTTGAGTTACAATTTGTTGTTGAGAAGCTAATTGATGTGATGACAAGTGATGTTGTAACACTTGAGTATTACTCTGTTGATGTTGGGATGCTATGGTTTGAGAACTAATAGAAGATTGTTGGTTTATTAATTGTTGCGATTGATGTAAATTCTGTATCATTTGTGAAGTAGGTAGTTCTTGTTGTGTATGGGACTTCATCGGAAGCACACTGTTTGTCTGAGCTCCGGCAGAATGCCATCCACTTTGTTGTATTGTATTTTGTACTGATGAAACAACAATATTTGATGAATTCTGTAAAGCAGAAGTTGCTGGACCTGATGTCCACTGAAAATGCTGTTGATGAGATTGTTGTTGTAAAGATTGGTCTGAAACATCGAGACTGCTAATACTTTGGGAAGTTGTAGCAAGATATACTGGTGATGAAGTTAATGACATATTTTGGTTTTGAGATGATGCATGTGAAGTTATTATTGGTTGCGATTTTGGTTGATTCCAAGGCATTCGTTGTTTTAATTGTTCAAGCATGGCCTTAGTGCAATTCTGTTCATCTTGAATTGCATTATTTTCTATATCTTCATCCATGAATCCAGTAATTAAAGCTGTTGAACTATTTGGGGAAGGATATATTAAAAGTTTGGGATGAAATTCTGATTCTCTTACGAGATTTCCCTTTTTACTACATTCTGTAATCCAATCAGGTGTTACAATATGGAGTTGGTGTCGTGAAGCAGTTTCATACTTTATTCCACTGGCTTTACTAACTATTAAATGAGTACAACAACGGTCTAATCGTAACTGGCACTTGCCACCTTGAAGAGTTATCATAGCCCATAGTGCTTTACTATCAGCCCGGCTTACCTGAGACATGCAAGCTACTATATTAGAAAATAATTGATTTTCTTCTGGTAAGAAATATTGTGTTCTATAAATATTATAATTAAGGAATTAATTATCTATAATATTTTAATAAGTTTTTATTACGAATTTACTTAAACTTTTCTTTAACTTTTTATCATAAACATTAGTATAAACATTAGTAAAAAAAAATAGTTACAGCATTTGTAAAAATATCTATATAAAATTTAGAAGCAACTCTAAATAATCACAATGTTTTGTAGAATATATATGACTTAATAAATATTATTTACATAAAATAATATAAAATAAAATATATATTTTTTATACTATTTTCAGAAAGGATACGGAAGAAGCTGCTTGCATTTTACAGAATATAAAATCCAATCTTGTG